TCATTATCATCATTACTATCATCATCATAATGATCATTATTATTTCATTATCACCATGCGACATGTTAAATATCGTTGGTATTGAAGCATCTCCTCAGATCGCAGCCTGTGATGTGATAACTTTTCGTCCTTCTTAGGACGTTATTTTTTGTTGTTTGAAGCCCCACTCTGGCTTTTGCCAGGGGCCGCAATATAGGCAGGTCATCATTATGGCCAAATGTCTGAACGCGGTTTCTGGGACCTCTCCACGGTGATCCTCATCCGCATGGTGGCACTTTGTGTCATCGGGTGTTTATCGCTTGTGTGATGTCCTGGTGGGGTAAAAAATCCAATCCAATCCAGCCTGTGATGTTCCAACGAAAGTACCAACTTAGTCAGCCCTGGCGGAAAGTGACCGCTTTTAAAGTCAGCACCAAACACCGTCTTACAATACATCAGTGCTTTTGTAACAATGTTACAGATCAACACGCAATAAATGTTACTTAAGGTGACCATCTGTCTCGTTTTTACCAGGACAGTTCCGTTTTTAGATGTGTGCCAGCTGACCCGCCGGTACGTCCAAAAAAAAAAAAAAACGTAAAATGTCCGGTTTTTAGATGTTTCCCGGCCGACTCGTCGGTACGCCATAGAAACGCCCATTGTCCCCTTTTCATAAAACCTAGAAATAAGCTCGAGGGTAGAAAATACGTTTACAGTTATTTCTGTAGACCTCATTAGAATTAATGGTTGAAGATACTTTAAATGCCTTAAATGTATTGATGCCATTACCCAACTAGTACCGATTGGTCTGTAAAAATATGGGGCCTCTTCCCATATGCCCAATGCGCCCACAGGTCTGAAAATGGATCTTTACTTCAAAATGTATTGATGGAAATTTTCACTGTATGTTTTTTTTTTCTTTTCAGTGCAGTTAACAAACATATTACTTCATGTAGGTGCACCCACCCACCCCCCCCCCCCCCATTATATTTAAAAAGAAATTCTAAACACAGAACAGAATTAACCCCATTGCACTTGAGGTGACCTCGTATGCCACAGTGTTTTTTTTTCGATAGAGACAAAAGCCACGTTAAACAGTGCTTTTTGAGATAAGGGGTACCTCCGTTTACGGACGAAATCCATTCCTGATTCTTGGACGTAAAACAAACAGTACGTAAACCAAGCAAATTTTTCATAAGAAATACAGGAAGGATGGTTAATCCGTTCTCCTGCGGGAAGGGCGGGGAGGGGAGGGGGGATCTTACTGTTACTGGCATATTATAAATTGATATGACTGTATAAAATAATTCGTTTACTGCCTAATACTAAAACACATAAATACAATAGTAGTTACATGAAATAAATGTAACCTCGTGGCTAATAGGATAGTACCGAGAAGGGAGGAGGTAGAAATGCTATTATTTAAAATACGGGACCCTTTCCTGTAAAGCTTCAGGAATCTGAAATTATTTTTCCTCTCTGTTTTTTTTTTTATTTCGAAATTTGAACCTGGTTGAAGCTCATCAGGTTTAACTTTTCCTAAAAGTCTGGCCAAATTACTTCACTTCCACCTTCTTCTCACGATGTTTCGGTAATGGGGCATAGTCTGGTAATTCCAGACAATGCTGCTACGGCTTGTTTGGAATTTCTTGTAGTGATACTTCTCTGCAAAGTCGTTAACGTCTATTCTTGGCTTTGTCTCAAGAGAGGTATAAAAAAGGGATAGAGGGCGAGGTCGTGACTAATTCCTATACAGAAGGGTTCGTATCCCCCCCCCCCCGCCCTCCAAGGAAAAAAGGTCGTACACCAAGCACATATTATAGCGTCTAACCAGGACTTATGGTAAGTGACCATGTTTTAAGTGTGAAAGAAAAACCTCCTGCAGGTCCCATTGCTTCACATAGCCACCTCTGTCCTAAACTCAGTAGCAGAGCCGAATGCTTCGGTACTAACCTTCTTTAATGTTCCTACCCATGCTCATAGACGTTCCCGTGTGAATCGGTAATTCAAGGTAAGCAGATAGACAGAAAAGGCAGCACCCCGCCTGCTCGCTCTGAAAGCTCTGTCAAGAATGAGTTCAAACTAAGCATCTCTTCCGCGTCCAAAGCATTAGTTAGGCCAATGGAATTTGCCTTCACTATAAATGAATCTCCCACCCATATGGCTGAATTTAAATATAAGTCATTCCCAAGAGAAGTAGGATATAACTTAGTACTTAACCCGAAATCTAGACACAAAGAAGGACTACTTACCTACAGAGGAAAGTCCAAGATTTGTAAGTGCCTCTGTAATATAGAGGTGTACAAGATGTGGGTAGGTCCATGACCACAGGGTGGTGGGATGTCATGCGACATCCCCCAACACAGGACAAGTCCTGTGACTCCCCGAATCATGAATAACAAGGGAAGTCACTCTGTTTCTAGGGCTTAAAACGTACATAGACCCTAGTGGCTATCCTTCTTCTTGTTTAAGTTCATGCCGTGTGACGTTGGTAGGCATGTCATATCCACAACCTTCTGTGTCGTGCACTTTTAGTCAACTCTGACACAGATTATGTTCCATGCCGTAACGTCAAACTGTCCAGCATCTGTTTTCTCAGTTTCTCTCTCTCTCTCTCTGCCTGTCCTCCGCTCGAACTTTCCTACTGTCACGATCTACTCCAGTTTTCTCCTTCTACCCTTCTAGTGGCTATCCACCTCGGCAAAAAATTCAGGTTTTCATCGAGAAATAGCACCTCCTAATCGGTACAGTTAATCAGCGTATCAACAGCTCATTTGATGACGATGTGTTGGGCACTTTCCGGACACACACACAAAAAGGAACAAAACAAACATTGGATAACTTCTTCCAAAAAAAAAAAAAAAAAAAAACTCCTGGTGAAACTTTTAGAAATGCCGAGGAACCACCAGGACACCACTCGCCAAAAATGACGTTACTTCATGTTATAGCCCGGCTCTCTAGCGTAGTTGGCTAAACCGGATTGCGCGGTGACCGGGTGACGAACTCCTTGTGGTCCGGGTTCACTCCCGGGGGTAGGCAGGAAAGCCACATTTCTCCCAGATTTACGGTATTTACAATGGAATCAAGGCCGAAAGGTTGCGATATCCATAATACCGAGCCTAAGGGTTAACAACTCATGGCTTCTGGATACTAAAACAAACACTTCATGTTAGAATGAAAAGTTACTTCCCTTCCAACCAATAGTCACTGTTTTTTTTATAATTTTAAAAGACAATTTTTTTAAAAAAATTGTATTTCTGTATTTCTGTAGGCGAACAGTATATTTACTTCATCAGGACAAGTAAATGTTTGTTTTAACGATTTTACAATTATAATTACAGCGGCCAATATGTAATTAAAAGCATTTCTAATGATTTTAGAGATAGATTTTTGAGTTAAATTTTGTTATTCAAAAAAGACAGGCAAAATTTGGGGCTGTGAAAGCATGAAACTATTCTTAGTCTATAGAAGATAGGTCTAGCCCTATTTGCCCAATACACATGGAGACATGGAAAAGGGTCGTTTTCTCATTAAATTATAGATTTTGAGTTTTAAAATTAGGTTCCTTTTCAGCAGCTGTGCATGTCTTTTTTGTTTCTTTCTTGTCAGTTGCGTATTCTTTAGAATACGTTGCACAACCAACCCCAGAATTGCTTGGCTGTTGTAGTTTTTCTAGACAAATTCTAAGTCCAAAAGTTTGCCATTGCTACTGAACGGTCTGCTCTCGGTACCCCCAGTCGAAACCAACGCAACACAAATCTTCCACATCTGGAATCGAACACAGGCATCCCGGCATTACGAAGCGCGTTCGCAACGCCTGAGCCACAAATACCGGCTTTACATAGTAAAAACTGACTTATTATGATTGTCGTGTCATTAAACATCTTCTTTTCTGGCGGCTTTTATGCCAACCGGCAGGTTCTGGGGGACATGAGGCGGTACATTCTAGCTACTGATATCACAGCTTTCTTTGAGAATCGGATAGCCATGGAGAAGATTCTGTCTACGGGGCACTTCAGCTGGGACACCATACATCACAGGTGAGCTCTGTCTGTCTGTCTACCTACCTACATACATACCTACCTACCTACCTACCTACCTACCTACATGTCCTTTCTGTCTTCGTCTGTCTGTCTGTCTGTCTGTCTGTCTGTCTGTCTGTCTGTCTGTCTGTCTGTCTGTCTGTCTGTCTGTCTGTCTGTCTGTCTGTCTGTCTGTCTGTCTGTCTGTCTGTCTGTCTGTCTGTCTGTCTGTCTGTCTGTCTGTCTGTGTCTGTCTGTCTGAAACACTGTCTCTGCCTCTGTGTTTGCCTGCCATTCATGGATTATCTTAGGCTGCTCTCCCTCATCCTTCTATCTTTCTCTTGTCTGTCCGTTCGTCTGTCTGTATCTCTGCCTGTCTGTCTGCCTGTCTGTTAATTTATCTATCTCTGCCTGCCAGTCATTCATGGATTATCTAAGCCTGTCTCTCCGTCATGCTTCTATCTTTCTCTCTACCTGTATGTCTGTTTGCATGCCCGCCTGTCTGCCCTTCTGTCTGTATGCCTCACTCTCTCTCTCCCTTTTTCTGTCTGTCTGTCTGTTTTCTGTCTGCTTTCTGTCTGTCTGTATGCCTGCCTGCCCGTCTGTCTGTATGCCTCTCTCTCTCTCTCTCTCTCTCTCTCTCTCTCTCTCTCTCTCTCTCTCTCTCTCTCTCTCTCTCTGCCTGACTGTCTGCCAGTGTGTCAGATGCTGACGACTGATGTCCTTTGATGCGATAGAAATGTGCTGGTTGCCCTGCTGATGACCGCCTGCGACCTGTGCTCCGTGTTCAAGCCCTGGCACATCCACAGGCAGCTGGTCTACGACATCATGGATGAGTTCTGGCTGCAGGTTGGTCTCCCCTTGTCTCTATCTAGCTCTTTGTACGTGCATTCATTGAGTGATAGAAGGATAAGTGGTCATCCCTGCTGTTAGCCTCCGCTTGTTTTTATCTAGTTCTTCCTTTGTATGTGCATTTAATGAGTGACAGAATGTTGAATGTTGAATTAAGAATCGACATCACAGCACTAGGGACACCCCCATAAGAGCGCCGTTCCCATCTTGAGCAGCAAGCGAAGAGTTAAAATTCCGATGTTTCTAGTAACAGTCTGATTGTATATCCGTCTCGCCTTCCCCCCGAGTGTCGATTGTCGGCCAGATCCCCTTGTAACTCCTCGAAGCGCCATTCTCCTCAGACCGTAAAGATCTATCTGTTCCTCGACACTGTTCACTCGCTCCCAAAGGTACCTCAAAACATCTAGCTTGTCATACATGAGTTCACCACTAAGTGGTGCAGAACCGGCCAGTCGGTCTGCCTGTTCCTTTCCCAACACACCGATGTAACCTGGAGAAAATATCCAAAGGATGCTAACTACCCGAGACGTTTAAGGTGATGCTTGGAGGAAAGAATGATGTGTGTTCATCCCTGCTGGGTTAGGAATGCCAAATTGTGTATGCGACTTGTATTTTTGTTGAATGTTGAATTATGAATCGACATCACAGCACTCGGGACACCACCATAAGCCCTCCGTCCCGATCTTCAGCAGCAAGCGAAGAGTTCCGATTCCGATGGCACTAGTAACTGTCTGATTTTTTTTTTTAATGACACAATTCAAACAAAAACACCCCTTCAACTTTTACTGATTAACTGTGTGGTTGTTACGATGTATGTCAGCTGCCGTCTTCTTGTTGTGATATGTATCTGTTACAGGGATGTCGACACAAAGAAAACATGGAAGCAACCATAAGTGTTTAATACAAATAATTACAATAGTGTTTAAGTTCTGAATGGCACATATCAAATCCTATATTTGATATAATGTGAAATGTTCGCACAAAAACATAACAGTGACATATATGGTTGTGAGAGAAGCGGATTTTAGTCCTTCAACAAATATGGGGGGGGGGGGCTTAAATGGCTACTAGGTAAAGTCCCGGGAAGTAAAGTCGGCCGACGTCATGCTGACCACACATACATCATGTGAGTTTCTGACTATAGGTTCAGCCATATAGGTCCTTACTTTTCTTATATGGGTGTTAGGTGGGGGCGACAAAAAAAGGAGAGGGGTGCCCCTCAGTGTGCCAAGTACTGGCGCCTATGCAACTGCTGCTATTATCATGACGTGTATAAAACTCACTGCAATTTCTGCTAGTGCACTCAAAAACATCCAGACCGTGTCAGTGTAATTGACAAGACACGGGCTGTGGTAAGGATACTGTCACTGACAGCTTGAATGTTGACATAACCGTTGACAAGAGACGGGCCGTGGTAAGGATACTGTCAGTGACAGCATATGTGTTGACATAACCGCAGGGTGACGAGGAGATCATGTCAGGACTGGTACCTACTGACCTCATGGACCGGAGAAAGAAGGCAGCTTTACCCAAACTTCAGGTGAGTTATCTTCTTCTTATTACTTTTCTTCTTTTTCTTCTACTACTACTACTACTACTACTACTACTACTACTACTACTACTACTACTACTACTACTACTACTACTACTACTACTACTACTACTACTACTACTACTAATACTACTACTACTACTACTACTACTACTACTACTACTGCTGCTGCTGCTGCTGCTGCTGTTGCTGCTGCTGCTAATACTACTAATACTACTACTACTACTGCTGCTGCTGCTGCTGCTGTTGCTGCTGCTGCTAATACTACTAATACTACTACTACTGCTGCTGCTGCTGCTGCTGCTGAGTTGAGTTAGTTCAGTTGAGTTCTATTTGTTCCCTACAGTGGGTCCCCGGAACCCACACGAAGTAAGTGGTTAAATGATAGCCTCGTTTCCGTGTCAGTAAGAGTAAGATCATATTATGCTGAATTAAGTGACAATAAAATGTATAATTTCTTCTTTTTTTACATCATCCTCTAGTTCTTCTTATGTCTTGCTCTACATACTCCTTGTGTTTCTTCTTCCTTCTCTTTTTCTGTTACTCCTCCTCCTTCTGCTCCTTCTGCGCAACTTTCTGTGTCAACAACAACAGCAACAACAACAACAACAACAACAACAACAACAACAACAACAACAACACAATCTAATTGTTTTAACATCAACAACAGAAACAGTGTACTTGTTTTATCAGTTCTCCCAAACCTGCTGCATAGAACTGCGTGCTCTGTTTTCAAAACCACATTTTTTATTTATATTCGTCTTCTGCGCCATTCTCGAAATATCTCTCTTCGGGTTTTCAGTGGACCAAATAGGTGAAAATCACTAGGGGCTAAGTCGGGACTGCAAGGAGGATGTTCACAAAGCTCCCTCCCTATATGGTTAACTTACTCATCTTCTCTACCCGCTACACGGATGCGTCTATTGCAATCTCAACAGGACGACCAGACCGGACTTTACCAACAATCCCAGAGTATTTTTGGGATTTTTTCATTTTACTTACCCAGCTATGCTCCGCTTTAGAAGATAAACATTTGTCAGCATAAACATGAAGCAATTCCTTATAAATGTCCTTTGCAGACAGCCCTTTTGCCCCCTCCCCCTCCAGAATGCACAACAGCACGCTGTTCTTTAAAGGTACACTCGTAAGTACAGTCGCCATTTTGCTTCTGTGTTGCGAATGCACATGCAACACCAAGCGCCACCTAACAAACATAAAATAAAGTTCTATTTTGCTGTCACCTAATGACACCTTAAAATAAAAACCAACTAAATTTTTCCGCCATCCCATAACACTAGACATATAACAATCTAAAGCTATAATAACAGTGCCGGGAATCGTGCCTGTCACCTCTAAGTGACGAATGCGCCTCGCTGTGGTAACAGTGTACTTACATGACTAACTAGGCACCAACGTAACAAAATCTGATTCAACAGAAAAGGATAACATGAAAAAACCCAAACACTGTTAACAAGAACTTAGAGAAAACACACGCATTATTCAATGTGTCAAATAACAAATGAAAAAAGAACAAAAATAGTACCAACAGCTGATAATTTAGTGCCCAAATATCAATGCAGTTGCTGTGCTGTTTTGTCTTGATGACGTCTGCTTCTGTTTTGGTCTGATGTTGGACAAAGGACAACGGAGATCACTCTCCACAACAAGCTAGCAACGCTGTTTTGTTTTCATGACGGGTTAAGCTGAAAACCTGATTCTTACAAGTACAAACGCACTCGATTTTAGAATTTTGACGCTCTCTTTGAAACTCCCTCAGCCCCCCCCCCCCTTTTCCCGTGTCCCCGTGGTGGGGGAGTTGGCGCTCCAGGTTGTAGACCATTTATCTAGATGTGTGTGTTTGTATAGTAGGGTCTTATCTCCCACATACAATGTGCTAAGGCAGCTGGGCTTGAGAGGAAACGAGCGTAAACGGTCACTGAAGCAACTGGGCGAAGCAGCAGAAAGGGCTTCGAGCTGGCTCTAGGCGCAACGGAACGCCGTGGGGGATGGGCCTCAGTAGATTGATCCGAGTACTCAGCGGAAAAAAGCGTCTTATCCCTTAAAGCCTAAGTGTCCGATAAATGTCTGCCAGTGTCTCTCTGCCAAATGCAAAAGTCTGACACCTGTCCGATGAACCAACCGTTAACTTGTCACTCTAGTCGTTAAGGTAGTCGACTGATCTAATTTGCCACAGCAGCGACAATATAACACCAAATGTCACAACACCTGTTGCAAAGTCACCATATCGTCTTGTCCATGTCTGAGAGTCCGATAAAGTGCGCCAGAGGAAATTCGAGGCCTGGAGTCATGAACCAGGCCAGGCCCACATTCCGAGATTGTCTATGAAGTAATGGGCCGAAACAATCGTCGACGAAGGATTTTTCTACTAATGATCGGTGGACTCCTGCTGTGCATACTCCCTTGTGGGGCTGTTCTTATTACTGTGCCCAGAAGTTTCATAACGATGTTTTCTCGGTTGTGTTTCTAGGTTGATTTCACCAAGTCCATCTGTCTGCCCTGCTATGTTCTTGTACACCGCTTGCTTCCCGATACCAAACCAATGCTGGACGGATGCACGTAAGTAACAGACCTTACGTCAATTTACGAACTTTATTTTCGAAAGGTTCAGAATTGCGCATATAGGCCCGCCTTGCATTCTTCCCTTCCGGACTCACTTCGTGCATAAATTATTCCATTACGCAAATTTTAGCAGATAGTAGTAGTAGTAAGAAGAAGAAGAAGAAGAAGAAGAAGTAGTAGTAGTAGTAGTAGTAGTAGTAGTAGTAGTAGTAGTAGTAGTAGTAGTAGTAGTAGTAGTAGTAGTAGTAGTAGTAGTAGTAGTAGTAGAAGTAGTAGTAGTAGTAGTAATAAAGTAAGCAAAGATCCCTTTTCACGCCTTGGGCATTTGGGAAGAACAGCCCATATCTCTTACAAACCAATCAGCACTAGGTGGGTAATGTGCAGCATTACGCCGGCCGTCTTTACTTCTGCAGGACAGCCATCCTGGTACCATTTCAGGTTGGGTCAACCTGGGACGCCCCATATAATGAATGATAAAAGTCCAGGCAGTCGGCAGTGGGTTTCGATCGCGGTATGTTGGAATGACGAGTTGGACTCCCAACGCCCAAGCCACAGTAATAATAAAAATAAAAATAATAATAATATCACCAACAACATCTAAGTGTTAGTTGCAAATCCCGGAATTTGCTGCAAGTATACATACATTTTAAAACAATAATAATAATTCAGCGTATAATAAATCTAGATGATAGAAATAATATGCTTAGAATCTTATTTTTTTAAGTTGATAGGTAGTCTGTCAATCAGTCAATATGTCAATCAGTCAATCAGTTTGTCTGTCAATCAGTCAATATGTCAATCAGTCATTGTGTCAATCTGTCAATCAGACAATCTGTCAGTCAGTCAATATGTCAATCAGTCAATGTGTCAATCAATCAAACTGTCAACAGTCAATATGTCAGTCATTCAATCTATTGATCACTCAATCAGTCAATATATCAATCAGTCAATCTGTCAATCTTTCAATCAGTCAATCTGTCAGCCAGTCAATTAGTCAATAAGACAGTGTGTCAATCAGTCAATCTATCAACCTTTCAATCAGTCAGTCTGTAAGTCAATCAGTCAATATGTCAATTAGTCAATCTGTTAGTTAGTCAATCTATCAATTTGCCAAACAATTAATCAGTCAATCTGTCAATCAGTCAAACATTCAATCAGTCTGTCTGTCAATTAGTCAATCTGACAATATGTCAGTCAGTCTGTCAATATGTCAGTCAGTTAATCTATCAATCAGTCAATCTATCAATTTCTCAATTAGTCGATCAGTCAATGTGTCAATCTGTCAAAAAGTCTTATCTGTCAGTCAGTCAATCTGTCAATCAGTCAATGTGTCAGCCAGTCATTATGTCAGTCAATCAGTCAGGCTGTCAATTTGTCAATCTGTCAATGTCTATTAGTCAATCAGTCAATCAGTCAGTCTGTCATTAAGTGAATCAGTAAATAATTCAATCTACCAATCAGTCCATCTGTCAATCAGTCAATCTGTTAATCATGTACCGTCTGCACAATGAAGGTTAGCTGCCATGGATCTGCCTTACGCTCTGTTTCTTGTCCTGGTTGTACATTCTCGCAGACTACTATTGTCCATCTCTTGATGTTGTCCTCCCACTTGTATCGTTGTCCACATCTTGTTTTCTTGCATTCGACCTTTTCATGTAGTGTGGTTTTAAAAGCGTATAATTTCTTTTAATGTGGCCAAAATATTTAAATTGTCTATTTTTTTTTAATATCATTCAGTAATTCCCTTTTTATTTGCAGTCTTTCTAGAACCTGTGTGTTCGACTGTCTTTATTTCCATGAAATACGGCATATTCTTTTGAAATCCACATTTCCACTTGGTTCAGTTTCCTAGTTGCTTGTTCGTTGTCCAAGTTTATGAATATTGTCTGTAATAAGATAATCTTCAATTAGTATCCTTTTTCGTATTTAAGGGTTGTTGGCATTGTTGACGAGCTTACGAGACGAATACAGCTCACACGTGGACATGTTTAAGGTTTTTAAATCTACAAACATGTCCACGTCGCTTTGATGTGCACAGATGTCACATTTCTTGCTTTACCATCTGACTACCTGGTCTCAGCACTTCGATGATTATTTATGTAGGGGTCTGCGTGGTCTCGAGGCATGGTGTCCGCCTCGAGTGCTAGAGGTTCTGGGTTCAATCCCCAGTAAGTGCTGGGATTTTTTTTCACGTGGACTTGGTCTTCTAGTAATTCCCCCTGGTCTCTGGGTAGTGAGGTCGGACGCCCGTGTGCATTGCTGCGCACGTAAAAAATCCTTTGGCAGTTGGAAATCGAACAAAGTAGCCTAACGGCGCTGCCCTGGCAAAATATGGAGTTAAAAATCTACCCAAAAGTATTTCAGGATCCTCGCAGGTGCTACAGAGCCTGTGCACTGTGCTGAGCTTCTTCGGACTTAGACTTGAGTTGGAAGAAGAACAGAGCACTTATGTGTGTTGTTCCCTTGTTCAAAAACTTCAGACTTCAAACATGTGTATTCTTGTGTGCCGCTCAGTGTTTTTTGTGTATTTTTTTATAATTCTTTCTGTCTTGTCCCAACTGTCTGTCCATCTCTAATATATTTCTATGTTTGTCTCCCGATTTGTTTATCTATATCAATTGCTGTATGTCTCTTGTTGTCTAAATTCTCTCCATCGGCGTATGTCTCTTGTATCTTTGGGAGTAAAGATCGGCATAGCGAGGCACACCTGACTTACAAGAAGTCTTGTCAAGCAGCATTGGACCGACACTTTTAACCGCAGGTCACGGATGTTTATGTTTAGGTGGGAATCTTCTCCTTCGCACTCACCGGCTGTAAATCCAGCGGAAAATTCTGGTTGTTTGTCCATTTCTGGACTTTCGCCTTGTTCCAGCGCATGAGTTTTGCGTGCACATTCGTTTTACAGATCTTGATTTTTTTTGTACGCAGACTACTGGTTCCTTGCCTCTCAGGCTGATGCACGACTTCGAAGGAGAACCCCACAATTAGTCGACTCGTACGACATGCTTGTTAGGGAGGCAGTGGGTCTATTCTCGTTTTCCCCCACACGGGGTCCCGGAACCCACACGGAGAGAAGTGGAAATCTGAGAACCTACGGCCGTGTACGGAATGATGTGACATAACTCTTTTTTCTGTCTATTCTGCTGCAGTTGTTCGTCGTTTAGCATATATCTGTTTGGTTGTGTTGGGTACTAACTCCCTCGGTTACTAACCGGAAAGGCTGATTAGGTCAGATGCGTTGGCTGAAAGAAGCAAATATCGCATCCAGGCTGTAAACAACACATCTTCATGTGAACGAATAGGACGAAGTTTCCCCTTGGTGGAACCACTAGAAATGAACGAACGTTCTGACTAAGGGAGGTTAATCATCCAAAATCAGGTTCACGAAATCCTTTTCTTCATCGCCTTCATTGGCTGTACACGCCGGTGGAAAGTTCAGGTTGTTCGTCCACTTCCGGACTTTAGTCTTTTCCCAAAAACTCAAGTTTTGCATGCCCATCTGTTCTACAGATCTGTCTATTTTGTGTGTAGACTTGGTTTCTCGCCTCTCAAGCAAACAGAATCTTGGGAGTAGAGGAATCTATTCTCTTCCTGTCCCATCACCCACACCCCCCCCCCCCCCCCCCACACACACATACACACTCTTTTTTTACCCTTACCCTTTCTCAATGGACACCGGAACCCACGTGATTTGATAACCAGCATCCTTGACATTCTAGAAACTGTTTTCAAAGCGAGGTTCGTGAGATGAATGACCTACTTTTATATTCTGGATTCGCTAAAATAAAAGATGGCGGAATGCCAAAGTGAAACATCTTGTCTCAATGCTGCACTAACCTCTTCCCCAGGACTAACCTGAAGAACTGGCAGAAGCAAGCCGATGACAGCGGGGGTACCGAAGTTTGACGTCACATTTGGTAAACTCACTGGCGCCGAGGTGTGTGGCGTCTGCAGTCTATCAGTTTTGCAATTCCACATCTTCGTGTTTCTTTGTGTATGTGTAACACAGGGTTATGTGTCTCCTTCCCACTGAGCAAGCAATTGTGCTGGACCACACTTTAAGTGATTTGACAGATGACATCACTAATGTACACCTTCCAAAAAACGTGAAATATTCTCATATGTCATCATATTTAGATTAGGTTAATGTTTGTCACTCACGTTTGTAATGTGATTCACTCATGTGCTGTGATGTGATTCACTAATGTGGTGTGATGTGATTCACTAATGTGGTGTGATGTGATTCATTCACTCATGTGCTGTGATTCATTCACTCATGTGCTGTGATTCACTAATGTGGTGTGGTGTGATTCACTAATGTGGTGTGGTGTGATTCACTCACGTTTGTGATGTGATTCATTCATTCATGTGCTGTGATGTGATTCACTCATGTGCTGTGATTCACTCATTCATGTGCTGTGATTCAATCAGGTGGTGTGATGTGGTTCACTCACTCATGTGCTGTGATTCAATCACGTGGTGTGATGTGGTTCACTCACTCATGTGCTGTGATTCAATCATATGGTGTGATTCACTCATGTGATGCGATTCACTCATGTGCTGTGATTCAATCACGTGGTTCACTCACTCATGTGCTGTGATTCAATCACGTGGTGTGATTTACTCATGTGCTGTAATGTGATTCAGTCAAGTTTGTGATGTAATTCACTCATGTGTTGTGATTCACTCATGTGCTGTGATTCAATCACGTGCTGTGATGTGATTCACTCATGTGCCCACATTTGTGACTTCATTCATTATTTCATGTGTTAATGTCTCAAACTGGATTCAACTATGTTTCCATGATAATGACTTCATCAATCCATGCGTCTATTTCATGCTATGATTTATCTGTTCATTCGTCTACATCTTACATGAATACAACAATCAAAAATGAGATGTGTGAATTTGTTCATTCACTCTTCACTCCTTTAGCTTTCTTTCTTTCTATCTATAACTTATCTTCTGTATCTCTCTTGCTCTCTGTTTATCTCTTTTCTCTGTATATCGTCCTCCCCCGCATCCATTTTGTCTTCTTATATATTTCTTTCCCTGTATTAATCTCTTCTATCCCTATACAACTCTTTCCTTCCTATATCTGTCTTCCCTTCTATCCATTTCTTCTCCTTTTTTCCATTTCCTTCCCTCTATCCACCTTTTCCCACAATCCACCCTGCTTCATATCTGTATTTCCTTTCTTTACATTATTACTTCCCTCCATAGATCTCCCATGTCACAAGATCTCCTATGTCACAAGATCTCCCATGTCACAAGATCTCCCATGTCACAATATCTCCCCACCCTCCTCCATTGATTTCAACTCTTTCCTCATTTCTCACTTGTCCTCTATCAAACTATCAAACAATGAACGCAAATGTGAAACAGTAAACACGATTTTGTATCGACACCAGAAAATAGAACCACAAGCAATGCATGGGCAATTAACATAAAACGTCACCAAAACAGCCACAAGAAATTCTAAGGACAATTAATAAAACACAGAAAACAGGCAAATCCTAGAAAACGAAAACAAAAAGACAGAATACAAAGAGACACAAACGCCAGGCTAATGAACAAAATGTCATCAAACAGAAAAACCACAAGAAATTCCAGAGAGCATAAACACAAAATAGCCCCTGACACACAGGGCCACAAGTAAGTACAGGACCCTTTTCCACGCCTTTAGGCGTATAGGGCATATAGGGCTAGACCTATATTTTATAGACCAATCGGCACAAGATGGGTGATGTGGTCAGCATCACGCCGGTTGCCCTTACTTCCCGGGACTGCACCCGGTACCCACTGAAGGCTGGGTCGACCTGGGAGTCAAGGTCATTTCAGAAAAGTCTTTCTCAGCCAGGGAGCGAACCCAGGACCTTTCGTTCGTGGCCAGTGTTTAATATGCCCACAAACAGACTGTCACGTGACTCGGGGACAAAGGATTCACCTGTCTGAGAATCCTACCAGTTATTGTGTCTTCAAACATTTCTCTCAACATAACTAACTTGTGAGCATCCATGGAATGTACTCTTTTGGAGTATTTCCACTTCAGTTAAGTAGGCAGTGTTTTCTCTTCAAGTATCAATGGAATGTTTTTCTTCATATAACTCTATTTGAGCAGTTTCCCTTGAAGTAACTCTACTGGAGTGCTCTCCCTTTAATTACTCTACTGCAGTATTTCCCATTCAAGTAACTCTATTGAAGTACTTCCCCTTCAAGTAACTCTATTAGAGCATTTCCCTTCATGTAACTCTATTAGAGTATTTCACCTTCAAGTAACTATTAGAGTTCCTTCAAGTAACTATATTAGAGTATTTCCTATTAAATAACTATATTTGAGTGTTACGCTTCAGATAATAAACTAGACAAAGAGACAGTAGACATGCTGAAGAATAAAAACACAACCAGCAACAAAAACGATCTTCACCCCATTCTTTCCCCTGTGTATTTAGTCCTGCACAATAACACATCTACACCAACAATGACCTTCTCTGCCAGTCAAGTCTGCCCTCTGGTTTTGGCTACAAAAGTTTTCACAAGCCAGGTTTTCTCCTCTAGCCCTGGGTCCAGACCAGCATTCAGCTGGGGCAGACAAACATTGTAGCCAATCTGGCAGGTCTAGTGTTACATTAACACATTTGTCTACATCAAATAACACAACAGTGTCAGCTCTGGATTTAGACCTGATGAGGCCCTAAGATGATATGAGGCCCTGAGGTCTCTACCATTTAAAATTACAGCTGTTAAACTCAGAAAACCTTAAAATATATGTTAACAAAAGGCAGAAACTGGTGTATATCAAACTGATGCGGTTATTAAACTTAAATAGGCTATCACGTTAGAATAAAAACAAGCCTAAGATAATAATCCTAGTGGACCCAGAGGTGAAGAAAAGATGCTGGCAGTGGACAGGAGGACACACGTTAAGAAAACATGGGTACAAAATAACTAGAATGTCTTTTCACTAGAACCCACAGGGGTATGGAAATAGAGGAAGACCAAAAAACACATGGATAAGGGAGCTAGAGAGTCAAGTTAAAAAGATTGGGAGAGCTGCATGTGACACCAAAGGACAGAACCACCTGGCATAAGTTGGTTGAGGGCCTATGCTTCTTTGGGGGTTAGAAAGGCAGAAGAAGAATATACCCAAAATAAAAATAGTAAAATCAGAAAATTGTTGGGGATTTTGTTTTTCTTCTAAATATATTAAAAGAAAACTGCATTTGTGAAGGAAAAAATGTTGTGAGGCATCTGCAGGTTTTAAAGCCCTCATCTGTAGTTTTGTTAGCTTATGGCTATACCCAGCACACAACAGTGTACAACAACACAACAGTGTACAACAACACAACAGTGTACAACAACACAACAGTGTACAACAACACAACAGTGTACAACAACACAACAGTGTACAACAACACAACAGTGTACATGAATCTGTTAGACACCCTCCCATCAACTATCTCACATCCATTCAGCAAGTGTGTACATACATTTATCAGGGATACCCGCTAGTCAGCAGTCTCATCCCATACATGTGTGTACATGAATTTGTCATGGATACCCACTAGTCAGCAATCTCATATCCCATACAACCTGTGTGTACATTATTTTGTCATGCATACCCACCAGGCAGCAATCTCATATCCCATACAAGCGTGTACATGAATTTGATAAGGATACCCACCAGTCAGAAATCTCATATCCCATACAACAAGTGTGTACATGAATTTGTCATGGATACCCATTAGTCAGCAGTCTCATATCCCATACAAGTGTGTACATGAATTTGATAAGGATACCCTCCAGTCAGCAATCTCATATCCCATACAACAAGTGTGTACATGAATTTGTCATGGATACCTGCTGGTCAGCAGTCTCATATCCCATATATGTGTGTACATGAATTTGTTATGGATACCAACCAGTCAGCAATCTCATATCAAATACAACAAATGTGTACATGAAATTGTCATGGATACCCACCAGTCAGTTACCTCACATCAATACAAGTGTGTACATGATTTTCTTATGGACAGCCACCAGTCAGCAGTCTCATATTTCATATAAAAAGTGTGTACATAAATTTGTAAAGTATACCCACTAGTCAGTTAACTCACATCAATACAACAAGTGTACACTTACTCTTTATATGCAAGTGTATAAATACTTGAATTTCTTATAGCCAAAGCCGTTCTAGTTTTGAAATGCCAAGCCTGAGTTCAAGAAGTTGAAAAAAAAAAAAAATCAACACTGTAGGATAAAATGAGTCAAATTAACAATTTGGATTAATCTTCTTCTTCTGCATCCATCTGAAGATGCAAATATGTTTGCCCGTTTACAACATGGCTGTGCCTTTCAAAAGACACGTCTAGCTTCTATGGGCATCTGTTGTCCGGGTTAGCCTTCCGAGATGCAGATTAATGAGTTAATGTGACAACTATGTGTGATGAAAGGCAGTCATAAATGTGTACGGTCTTTGGACTAAATGATGAACCCTTGAAGAGAGGCATGGTAGCAAATGAGTTAAAAAGGTAAGAGGCATCCAACATAAAACCAACCAATCTCAACAACAATAATAAAGAGGAAATTACATCAACAATCAATATACAATAACAAGCACAACAGTTATCTGCTCAATGCTATATGAGGGGGAGAGAGGAAGACTGCTGAATTTCGGGTGCAATATATCCCGGTAAAGACTAGCACAGCCAGGCATGAGAGGCACATCAGATGTACAAGAAGTCTCACCATCCAGCTCTGAACTGGAACGACTAGCCACTGGACACTGATGTGTATGCTGAGTGGGAAGCCTGAGCAGCTATGGACGTGTCTGGAGTGCCGTGAGAATAAACTACTAACTCACAGCTCATAACACAAATATTCATCAACACAGATATCCTATTAGG